CCGCCCCCACCCATGCACCAGGCCGCTATTCTATATAGTAAAAGGGTAATATGCCTTCCAGCACCGGGATCAGCGGAGCCGCGAGGTCTCCCGGCACCGGAATCAGCGTGACAGGGGGCAGCTCCCAAACCCCCTGATCGCCCTGTGGCTCTGTGTGTGACAGGGGGCGGGGCCACAACCTCCCTATCTGCCCTGCTCTGTTACTGACAGGGGAAGGCGCTCCAACCCCCTGATCAGTCCTGCTCTGTGCCTGATGGGGGGAGCTCCCCAACCCCTCCCTCCCCACGGGCTCTGCTCTGTGTGTAACAGGGTAGAGCCATAACCTCCCCATCGGCCCTGCCCTGAGTGTGAGAGTGGCGGTGCCCCAACCCCCTGATCAGCCCTGCCCTATGGGTGATAGAGGGCAGTGCCCCACCTCCTTATGGGCCCTGCTCTGTGCATGACGGGGCGGCGCCCCAACTCCCCAATCGGCCCTGCTCTGAGCCCGACCAGGGGCTGCACCTAGGGATTGGGCCTGCCCTCTGCCACCCGGGAGCAGGACTAAGCCAGCAGGTCGTTATCTCCTGAGCGGTCCCAGACTGCGAGAGGGCACAGCCGGGCTGAGGGACCTCCCCTCCCCCCCGAGTGCACAAATTTTTGTGCACCGGGCCTCTAGTCATTACATAAAAGGGTAGGGTCTTTTTTTTTATTTTATTTAGTTTTATTCATTTCAAATGGGCCTGAACCAGCCCGCAGGCCGTAGTTTGCCCATGGCTGATCTAAACTCATTAAAAAAGAATTCTCATTTTTGGGATGATATACTATAAACTTGTAAATAATGCAATTAACAATTTAGAGGTTTCTTAAATTTGTTATTTTGCAAGGAAAAGCATATTGTTTTTTAAAATATATGTAGAATTTTTAAAAATTGCTAGTTTTTCTAACTGCTCCACAGAACAAAACCTTATTATAGTTAAAATTATGTAAAAACTTCACAAATTTCTTACATCAGTTGATAATAATTAAAATCTCATATGAAATTATATTAAGATACAATGTACACATACTCTTTAAAAATACAGAAACTTTAAAAAAACTTTGATTACTTAGATAGTTCTTTTTCTAAATAATAGATGTGTTTATTTTTAACTAATGTTGAGTTAAAAAAACTAACACTCCTGTCATCATTCTTTCCTATGGAGTTACTATACTGTTTTCAATGAGAGTGTAAAGGAACCATTGTTTCAGATTTTATTTACACTGGATCTGCCTGGAAAAACCCCAGGTCCCATCTACCCATTTGTCGTGATTCCAAATAAGTTTTTAAAAGTGTCCTTGCTACCGTCAACTTAGGGTCTATTTTCAAGGCCTGTTTTTCCTACTTAATTTATTTTCTCCAAGACAGACTTGTCGCAGCCACTTTTTACTTTAACACCTGTTATTTTTTCTGCTTCAGAGTACTCTAAGAATCCTGCAAGCTAGAAATGCTCTGTTAATACATTGTCAGTTCTGGGAGCCTGCCCTTTCCTTCTCCTGAGCCATCTTTACACCAGATCTCTCTGGTGAAAATGTGAGAGCAGAAATCTGGGGTTGGGCACGCGAGATGTCGTCACAGGAGTGGGAGATGGTGGAAAATTGACACCAGCGAAGAAGTGTACATATTTGTTTACACGGATCAACTTCTATTAAATGTAATAGACATAAGCCGACACGGGGAATCCGGTAGTAGGGGGAGAGACTAAAATGTCTCAGGGATAGGCTAGAGATGAAAAGGAGACAGGGCGAGGGAGCTGGACCCCGCCGCAGCCGGGAGAGGAGCCTGCAGGGCTGACTGCGGGGCAGGCCTAGTCCGGGCGTGGCCGGTTGGAGCAAAGCCCGGGGCGGGCGGGGCTGGGCGGGGCCGGGGCGGGCCCATGGGAGACCTGACACCTCTCCGCGAGAACCCGCAGGCACCCGGCGGAGAGCACACGGCTGTTCCCACACGTGGAGAACTTTTAACGAACACGTGAGGAAAAGACAGCAGTGTCTGTGGAAAATCTGCCTCACAACTCCGGGGAACTGCCCAACCCCCTCCCTAACAGCTGGTTTGCTGTGCCCCCGGAGGTCTTCGCCCCCTTCTATTGATGTCCAGCTGCGGGTCACACGCTTGGAACGCAGCTCTCCCGAGCGGCCCCATCCCGGCCCCCGAACGCGCGAAGCACCCCCAGCAGGCGGCCTTGCAACCCGTCTGCGCCTGCGCCCGCGCCCAGAGCTCCAAGACAGGGGCGGGGCCCTGAGGAAAGGGGCGTGTCTCTCGCTGGGCTCTCTGGGGGCGGAGCCGGGGGACCCGTGTGGTCCTGTGACCTGCGGGTTGACCTTCCCGAACGCTGGGTCCCGTGACGTCACCTCGCCGTGACGCGCACGCTGTAAGAAAACTGTAAGTTTCGGAGGATTCCTGCAGCTCCCCGGGCCTGCGGGGCTCTCCCTGCTGCTCGTCTTCCTGGTGTTGGTAGTGGCTCTGGGTTGTTAGATCCTGGTGCGACCGGAGAGCCGCCGAACCTGGCTAAGGGACAAGTGCTGCCTGGGCGGGAGCGCGCCCTCTGTGGTGGGAGGGCCGGGAGTGCCTGCGGCGAGGCCGCACTCCGCTGCAATGGGCCCCCGCCTTTTCTCCTGGTGTCTATAGGGCCTTCAGAGCCTGGGAGCGAGGTCATCCCAGGGGGAAGGTCCAAATAGGAGAGTCCTCCTTTTTCTTCATTGTCCGAGGGACTTTGATTCCCTTCAGCCCAGGAGTTTGACATTGCTAAGTCTGGGTTAGAAGTTTCCTTCAGAGATTCCATATCCAGGCTTCCTTTGCGACCCCAGGAGTTACCAAATCGCCTAAGACAATTTGTAAAGATACCCACTTGCTGCCTCAGTTTTCTTTTTGTGTAAAATGGCGTTGAAGCAGAGTCTGGCCTTCCTAGTTGTCATTCCCACAATAATAGGAATTGTGAGAGCACGTGAGGTAATACAAACACCTAAGCTTGCTGGAAGAAAGCTTATGAAGACAATTGGTTATTCTGAGAATGTACTGGCCAATGGGTATTTGACAAAGGTCTTGTAGATAGTGACCTTTTTTACAATTCTGCCTCCTCACCTTGTCCCCCTCGCTAATCTGATCCCAGACAACATTTGAGCCTGGGATGTGGTCTGAACTTCATCATTGAATTTGGTGGAATACGGATCAAGAAATAACTGGTACCATTATCACAATGATCTGGACAATTACGAAGCCCCCATTGGGTTTTTCAGAGAAAGCTTTTAGAGTGTTGAAACTAGTACTTTATGCTCAGTACAGATATACTGTGAGTTTTAGGGGCTTTGCTGTGTAAACTTAGAATATACCACCATTATATCTGACTCCTTGAATTTTTTGGCTTGCCAAGTGTTAGTACAGTATTAATGAGTTTGTACCATACTCAAAAGTATGTACCATGTACACACTTCAGGAGAGTGAAAGGTCACATTTCTGTAAATTCAGTTTCAAGGGTGTAATTTCCTTTCATCTTGGTTTGAGGAGGCTTAGAAAGCAGGGATCCTTACATTTGTTCTATCAGTTATTAGCTCTGCGTCTAAAGACAGGTCACCCAAACTTGGAATTTTCTTTTCTAAGATGGGAAATGATGGCATATCTGCTGTTGCTTTTTCAAGGATCAAATGAGGTCATGAATTTTGTTATTGCTATTAAGAAATTTTCATTGGTCCCCAAGCCTGGAAAAGAGAAATAAGAGATGTGTGCATTCAAAGTCAGGTTCTAAGTCACAACTAGAACTAGAGCAGCAAACAAGACATAATCTCCAACCTAGTGGAGCTCATGTTCCATGGGGAAATAGGCAACAAAGAGTAAGTACATAATATTATTTCAAATAGTGACACATAAAGTGATATAAAGGAAGATAAGAGAAAAACAGACAGTGGGAGAACAGGACAGGTTATTTTAAGGTCTATCAGGGAAGGCCTTTCAAAGGTGGTGACAGCTGAGTCAATTGAAGTGAAAGAAGAGCCCGAGGTAGTAACATTTCGGGGAGGAATAATAACAGCAGTAAACACTTATGTACAGCTTATATGTGAGGCACTCTTATAAACACAAAATTAAATTATTACAACAACCTTATGAAGTAAGTACTCATTCCCATTTTTATAGATGAGGAAACTGACACAGAAAGATTAAGAATTTGCTCAAGGTTGCACAGCTGAAATGTGATGGAGACAGTATTTGAATTTGGGCAATCTGACCTCACAGTCCATGCTCCAGTCAACAATACTGCCTCACAGTAGGAACAACAATGGAACAATGCTCAGAGGTGGAAGCAAGCCTGAGGTGCCAAGGCATTGCAAGGTAACAGTGTTGAGAAAACAACAAGGAAAGGGGCAAGTGATGGCAGATGATGTTGGAGGGCCAGGCAGACTGTGGGGCCTTTGTAGGCTGTGATGAGGTAAAGATGTTATTCTAAGAGTGGTGGAAAACCTTTGGAAGGTTTGCATTAAAGTAATAGCATCTGATTTCTGTTTTATTAGGTAGAATATTAATTGAAGGGTCATGGAATGGGGAGTCTTAAAAATGGGAAGATAGGAGACTATTGCTGTACCTGGTGGTGTCTTGGGCTAGGGGAGGTAGTTGGTAGAGATGGTAAGAAGTAGTCAAATTCATGATATACTTTTGAAGGTAGAGCTGCTGGTGTGGACTTAATAATGTGGGTTTCTCTAAAACCTAAAACTTTTAGGTTTTAGGCTGGAACAACTGGAAGGTAATGCTGTTTATTGAGAAGGGAGAAAGGGGTTTGAGAAGGAAATCATGATTTCTGTTTTGGACAAGTTTCAGATGCCTAGTAACATTAGTACTGGTGCTGCTAATAATAATAGTAAGCACTGTGTAAGCATACACTGTGTAGTAGGCAGGGTTTTAAGCATTTTTACATATCAGTTCATTTAATTATTATAACAGTTGTATGTCTCCATTTTACAAATGAGTAAACAGGCTCAGAGGGGTTAAAAGTCACTTGCTGAAAGTCACCCAGCTTTTGAGTGATGGAGCTGGGATTCAAACCCAAGCAGTCTGTCTTCAGAGTCCATGCAGTTAATTTCTGTAACTACCTCCATGTTAATATGTTGAGTAGGCATTTGGGTATATGAATATAGAACTCAGGAGAATGATCAGGGCTGGAGACACACATTTATATTCCTGAAGGGAAAGACTCTGTTGTTTCTCATCTAAGTCTTGGTTGGCAATAGGCAAAAAGAACATAGGCAACGGGGCTGTGCTAACTGGTTACTAATTACTTGATTCTGTTCATGCAGCCAATATTCAATATTCCCCTTCCATGAGGTTCCATGAGGGTGAGATACATACCTCTTTCACTTCTCTACTTCTAGTCCCTGATCTAATGCCTGCCATGTAGACTTTAGGGATGACTTTATATGCAGGACATTTGGATAAATTTTGGAGGTTAGAGATGAATACAACAGCATTTTTCCTGGAGGAACTTAGTATGATGAAAAACCTGTGGGAATAAAGCTAGAATAGACTAACTGCATAAATGCATGCTGATTAGTTCATTCTGGCCTTCTGTAGCCACCTCCGCCCTATTTACTTAAGAGATGGGGCATGAAGGGTTCAAAGAAGCAAAAGAATGCCTAAGCAATTGCAGGACGAATTTGAGACTCTCCCAGCGCTTTTTAACAAAAAAGAATTCCTCAAAATCTTGCACATATTACTGTATTTGCATTAATTTTATTTGGCAGTGATAAAATTTTTAAAAAATGAAATATATTCTGATATTTAAATATCATTGTGGATTGATGAGTTTTTTCCAGTCCTATTACCTCAGTGTTGACAGGGCTCACTAGTGAAATAAGGGAGTCGGCTTGAAAAGCTGCAGCTTGCATAATAGAGGGTGATGGAGGGGCTGTGTGAAGTATTTAGTCAGGTTTCCACCAGTTTCAGTCTTTCACTCCAAAGTTCCACATAATGAAATAAAGTTGATTCCTCTGATGATCATCTCTTTAAATATCTTATATGTGAACATTATAAAATGTAGAAACTAGAACAATACACACACAAAATAAGAATCTTATTTCTGTAATTTTCTTTCAGGGTATACTATATCTCAATTCATTTATCACAATTTTATTACTTCCTAACATGAGTATTTCAAATTTGAGCTGTTAAAAGATTAGGTAAAACTGCACTATTATAGATTTTATGGTTAAATTCAGAGTTTTTTATTACAGTATATAAAATTATATTTTGTTTAGCTTTTTTGCTTCCAGTGGGAGTATTGATCTGAATAAACAAATCTATCAGTAATTCTTTTTAAAAAAAATATATATTTTATTGATTTTTTTTACAGAGAAGAAGGGAGAGGGATAGAGAAACATCGATGAGCGGGAAACATTGGTCAGCTGCCTCCTGCATACCCCCTATTGGGGATGTGCCTGCAACCAAGGTATATGCCCTTGACTGGAATCAAACCTGGGACCTTTCAGTCCGCAGGCCGACGCTCTATCCACTGAGCAAAACCGGTTAGGGCCACCAGTAATTCTAAACAGGAACCTTCCACAAATATATTGTAGAGATGATGTGCCATCTCATTTTGCAGTTTACAACATTTTAAATCCGCTATTGTAGCTTCCGTAAATTTAATGGAATTGAAATGATTAGCATTTTTTTAAAATATATTTTTATTGATTTCAGAGAGGAAGGGAGAGGGAGAGAGAGATAGAAACATCAATGATGAGAGAGAATCATTCATCGGCTGCCTTCTGCTCACCCCCTACTGGGGATTCAGCCCGCAACCCAGGTATGTGCCTTTGACCTGAATGGAGCCCAGACCCTTCAGTCCCCAGGCCAATGCTGTATCCACTGAGCCAAACCTGCTAGGGTTGATTAGCATTTCTTTATACCACAATAGTATTTAGCTTCCTTAAGAATATTAGATATGGTATAAAGTAGAATTTAATCTTAAACGGCCTGTTGATTTCTCAGGCTTTGTCACTTTGTAAGTTCAGGCTCTGTGAGGGCAGATTGATGGTTATTTTGTTGTTTCAGATAGCTCCCAGCAGAGCAGGAGTGATGGTAAGCCCTCCTATTGGAAGACAACAGAAGCCACTCTTTCTAACACTGAACCATAAGAAATATAGCATCTTATGAAATAGGAAAAATAACTTATAAAATAAAAGTTCCTTTGAAAATTCATATTACATAAACAAATTTAAAAACTACTACCTCATGTTAAGAGAACAAATATAAATATATGGAAATTGTTTCTTAAGAAAACCATGCATCTATATCAATGATGCTATGTAGTGTCACTAAATATAATTTTTAAAATTCCACTTCTTGTGGTTTCTTTTATTGTAGCTGGAGTTCAGTAGATCTTAAATCAGTCAGTGTCCAGAGTTTCCTTTCCATATTGGAATAGAGTCCAATTCAGCATCAGGCTAGCTAGTTTGTGTTCCCTGCTGCAGTCCATCAGTCCATTGCATGTGTGGACTACAGTGCCACATGGTTATGGAGGAAATGCGGGTGAAGCCAAGAGCACAGGAGCAACAAGAGAGACAGCTCCTTTGTTTAGGAAATCATGTATTCCCAAACTTTCATGAACTTGCAGTGGCCATGCCCATTCTGGCCAATAATTTCTGTCCCTGGGTTTGAATGACAGACAAGTACCTTCCCTATGTCACTCCAGCTTTACTGAACATGCATCAATCTTACTTTTGTTGGATCCCTGTCCCTGTTGTTTTTTGTCGTTGTGTTTTTTTTTTTTTTTTCAGGGAATTGGCCAGTGGTTCCTTGGGGAGTGCAGAATTGCAGCTTCCTAGTGAAGCTGCCCAAATGGCATGTGTTTAATGTCTGGCCTTCCCTCTTTGCTCCTTTCCTATTATTAATAACTAGTTAAGTACAGTGGTATCAATTCCCCCTTTAGAGAACTTAAGCCTTGCAATATTACAAGGGTAAATGGCTGAAGGTCTTTATTTTTTTGTAACTGTTTTAGGCCGTCAAAGGTTATAGACCTGTCTATTCCAGGGCTTAGAGATGCTCCCCTATCTGGTAGAGGAAGAGGGAGCAAAAGGGAAAGGAGTATTTGTGAAGGTAAGGGATTTTGCAAAGTCTAAGTTTGATGTCTCTGGGAAGTGGAATAGGCCATGTTTAGAGGATGATGCATTGGACAAGCTGGCATCCTTGTTGTATTCTAGAAATGACTAACTTGGCAAGAAGGTTAAAAGGCGTAATTCAAAGGTGAGGAGATTTATAGCAACTAAAGGACTGGTGAGAGGTCAAAACCTATGTGGTAGAGGGAAGAATTAATTTTACAGTGTTTTAGATTAGGATGGAAGAGTGGCTTCTCTCAGGTATCACATTTGTCTGTTTTTTTGTTTATTATATTTAACTTAAATTAAGCTAAGGGAAATATTCTAAGATTTCTCCCGTGAGAAATTGTGGGACCTGTTTGTCTGAACCATTTGGGAGAAAAGGGAAAGCAGTTTTAAGTGAAGTCGATAGACTGTCCATATTTTATTGACTCAACCGTAAGTCCAAACCATTTAGTCTTATTTTAGGACATGGTGATACAGATGGCTTTTAAAGTGAGGCTTATATTGGTAATAATCAGGTAAATAAGGACATAAGCATATATTCTATGAAAATAGAAGGAAAAACATAAAACACAAGGTTAATACATACAGTAAAATATAAAACAGTTGAGAAGACTTTTAGATATAAGGCTTTTCTTGGAATGAAATCAAGCAATGACAATTTGATAAGATTTTTTCATTTTAAGAATATCTCTTATGATGTTATTAGTTGTCGAGATCTGTATGGAATATATAGACACAGTTTTAAAAGCAAAACTTTGAAGCCAGTTCATTGTATTGGAGTCCAGTATTTATAATTGAGCATTGTGGTTTTTATTGACATGATTTTTTTCTAAGATTATCCTTATTTTAAAAAATATATTTTATTGATATTTTACAGAGAGGAAGGGAGAGGGATAGAGAGTTAGAAACATCGATGAGCAAGAAACATCGATCAGCTGCCTCCTGCACACGCCCCACTGGGGATATGCCCGCAGCCAAGGTACATGCACCTGACCAGAATCGAACCTGGGACCCTTCAGTCTGCAGGCTGACGCTCTATCCACTGAGCCAAACAGGTCAGGGCTATCCTTATTTTTAAAGAGACTGTATTAAGTTCAATTATAGTTTGGCCTGATTAGTTGCATAAACACAACAACAATAGTAATTGATTAAATAGATTATAAAAGCTTTTAAAAATCTGTTTTACTGGAATCTTTCATAAGGAATTTTTAGATTGAATTATAGTCAGTCCCTTAGGGCAGA